TTCATACTTTCGAGCACTAAACAATAATTATTCAGATGCAAAACAAAATCACACCTTTCTACCAAGTCGTTATCATACTCATAAGAAAATTTGTTCGACAAGACGGCACAATATCATCAACGCTGTTTACCGTCCCAGTAAAGTAGATGGCAAAGTTGTTTGATTGGGGCAATAAAAGAGTTCAATTGTCAGGAAGTTTCTATCAAACCGTCATTTCACAGACGAGATCGCCCCCTTTTTGAAGAATACCATTGAAGCCATCACGGACCTTCCTCCTTGAGGAATCCCGACCGGTTAGTCGCGAGGGCAGGTGGCGCGTCCCCAGGTGGTGGATAGGGAAATAAACGCAAATTAAAGGAGACCGTGTGCTTCCCAAAGAAGGTGGATTCAGGGGATGAGCTCCCCACTTCTGCAGCGCCGACTTGACAAAAACTCTATTTTTACTAGCCAGGCCGGCCAGAAGCTCGCAATCAAGCTGCGGGAAGTACATAGGAGGCGGTTAGAAGTCACCTCCAACAAATAAGCTCCTCCCGCTTCCCCAAAAGCGACTGGCAAGCTACTCGTGAGTACCCAGCTCCCACGTTTGGAGCCTGGAAAGCTATATGTTAGGCATCAAGATGCCAAAAACAGTATCAAATAAGGGCCTTACTGCCCTAACCTGAAAGAGCCCCTGGTACGACAGCAACAGGTAGGACGAGTACGGAGAGGCTGCTAAAATCTAAGAAACAAACTAGGCTGCCAAGATTGAAACGGGCTAAAATGACCATTTGTACCTATAATGCAAAAACACTTGCTCAAGAATCCGCTGTAGATGATCTACCGACTCAAGCAAGAAGGATAAGGTGCGACGTCACTGGCCTGGACGAGAAAAGAAGACACCGTCCTCTTCACGCTGATCATGACACCCGGAGAACAACTGTTCCTTAGAACATGCGATAGCAGAAGTGTCAGCGGCGTTGGCGTCCTCCCCAAATCGAATTTGACCGTGAAAATCGATTAGTTTGGACAACTAACAACCCGTATCGGACGATTACGGTTGAAGCGATGTGGTTCTATACCGGCTTTGAATGTCTTCGTTGCTTAAGCACCAAGATCAAGCTAGCAAAAATGAAGTCGAGACGCTTTATATGAACCTCGGAGAATTCTTCAGAGAAGATCATACATTATTCAATGTCATTACCGGAGATTTTAGTGCAAAAATGGACCTGGAAGAACGTATGAAGAACGTCACATAGGGACCCACGGACTAGAATGGAATGAACAGGGTGAGAGGCTATCTGAGTTTATCATGACAACCCAAACCATCCATGGTAACTCACAGTTATAAAAGCCTCACTCTACTTCGTTGTGCCACTCTCCAGTGAGACGAGGGAGTTTCTCACTGGAGAGTGGCACAACGAAGTAGACCACATCTCAGTAAATCGAACGTTTTGCCTGACTGGTGACGCTGCTGTTCCTAAGTTCTACGGCGGATCAGACCATCGCCTCCTTCGCGCAACGTTCCGCTTTTTGAGGAGAGGAGAGAAAGCCGCTAAATTCAAACCACAAAGTCCCAGAATTACTATAAACTGGAGTGTGCTCAATTCATTAGTCGGCTCTTGGAAAGATAGCGTTGTCGACAACATCGACGAAGAATACGATTGGCTCGTTGAATATCTTCACGTTAGCACTGTAAAAGCCGACAGTACTAAGGTCACGAAAAGACGCTTGTCTCCGCAGGCACTCGAGCTGATGCTTCAACGTGGAATCTTACGAGCTACAGGCAATCGAAAACTTACGTCCGAACTTGCGAAACGCCGCAGACAGACGATAAAAGATAACCTTAAAGTAAGAAGGGCATTAGTTGTGGCAGAGGCTGCAGAAGCTGGGAAGAGCATTCGCAAAGCCCAGCGAGGCTTCGTTAATCATAGAACCAATACAATCGCAACGCGATGCCCTGACGGGACTCTTACAGCTTCCAGTAGGGCTATAGAGAAGATCATCCACTAATACTACTCGGATCTCTTCGCTGGCCATGTTACCGTCATATAACTCAAAAAAGGATCAATGTGTTGTGAATGTTGACCGATTTAGATAATGCCCATGAAAAAATTGCATCAAGTAAATCTAACAAAAACGATGTTCTTAAGGAACGCACGGGTTTTGAATGCCCCATTCACGCTCAACGGAACAACAATCTTCGAATGCCCCACCTACGTCTACCTAGGTCGTGAAGTCAACATGATGAGCGACCTAACTCCAGAGTTGAGCAGGAAGAAACGAGCGGGCGCTTGGGGAACGTTTAAGAACATCGATGGTGTAGTGAAGAGGACAAAAAAAAAATCCGACTCCGTGCCCACCTTTTCGGCTCGACGATAATTTCTGCCTTAAAGTGTGCAGCAGAAACCTGGTCGCTACGTAAGCAGGATGAAAGATCACTTGGCGTTATTGAACACTCAGTCGTAAAATCGATGCTAGGAGTGTCCCGTATTGCGCAAATGAGAGAAAGGTTCCGAAGTTTCGACCTACGTCAACGATCAAAAATTAGAGACGCCGTTCTGCACTCCAGTATATGGAAAATAAGGTGGGCTGGACACGTGATACGATTCCTCGACAACCGATGGACGAGAGCCATTACCTACTGGATTGTTCGGGACATTAAACGCTCTAGAGGAAGACCATCGACTCGTTGGTCCGATTTCTTCACGAAAGTTATAGAAGAAAGATATGATGCTCAGCGAATCCCTAGAGCGAGAAGAACCCACTGGGCTACTCTTGCACGCACAGGCAGAGATAGCAGAGTTGTTGGTACCCGCTCGAGTCACTCGACGATCAACGAGGCGACAGGTGACAGGTGAGCATTGAAGCAGAAGCGACGCTCAGTGAATCTAGAAGATCGGACCACACATAAATTGAAACGCGATCCAGTGTATGAATAATCTATAGTACAACGATGAGCAATTAAAACAAATTGTTCTCTAGTTACAAAGGCCATCTCAAATGTTTGTCTCGGGTGTTTATTGAGCAAGGAAACAATATGAAAACTGATGAAAAGGAAAGAGTAGAGCAGCATGGGCTGCAGTTGGACCTTGTCAGAGACGTGGCCTGATACTCATACCAAAAATCTCTGCATCGCCCACAAAGCTTTTGAGTAGGGTGCTTTTGAATTCAATGTGCACTTGTAACTTTCTGCCAATTTGTGCAGCTTCATTTTAAAAGGCCTACCTCATTTCGAACTCATAAGGCACGTGCCGATAGCGAAACACACATGGATTTTTATTCGCAGATGAAACCGCTTTTAAGATTACGAAATATTCCATTTGGTAGCTGTCATATTCGAAGCACACAACTAACGTGGGCGACGAGGCCTACACACTTTTGAAGGCTTGTTATCTAGATGACCAAGTAAGTAAAAAAGTCTTCAGGTCTTTACTAGCTTGCACAACTTCAGAAATTTCGTCCTTTATGTATCACTAATAAATCCATTTTTGCAATGGTAATCCATTAGGAAATCTGAATGAGATAGGAATGCTAAGACATAATAGAGGGCAAGTTTTATGCTAGCGTATGATCGAGCTGCAGATTTTACGCCCACTCATTGATTTTCTTAAAAGATGTTGCCGATATCCTACGCACGCAAGACAACATTGCACAGCGCCGCTGATGGACCTAATCGAATCCACTTTGTCATCGCCACGAAGGGAGTTGCTGTGCTCGAAGAGAACCTCGCTGATGAAGGAGAGCTCAAATCAGAAATCTAATGTGTGGCTTAACAAATGCTACCTAACTGATATCATAATGCATAATCATATCGCTGTTTACAATATCAGTTTTGTTTATGACTTTCAATTTTTTCTGCATCATAGACTATTGTTGATCCAATCGTTTCAAACAAAGTTTTTGAACTTAATCTAATCTTTCCTTTTTAGTGACTTTTTGCCTCTGATAAATCTTCTACCAAGGAAAGTCCTCGGAGCTAGTTCAGGCATACTCTTTCACCCAACTCTTGCGATTATAGGTTTAAAACAGTCTGCACATATTTGATCCTACTCGCACACCTTCATGGTATGATTGACGGTATAGATGGAAGAGGACAATGTTTAAAAGAAGTTCTGCGAAGTAAAAAGTCTCTGAGGTACTGGTCGCCCTCCAAAATCACCTTATGTCGTCACATCAAAATAATTTGTAGCGGTGGAAACTGCACGAGGTGCAAGAAGTCATTTCGAGGGTTTAATAAATTGAAAGGAATTTGGTACAGTATGTAAAGATAGTTTGTTTAACCAGTGATAGTAGTTGCAGAGACGAATAATGCTTATGGTATGGTGTAAGCAGATGCATAAAAAGTTATCGACCTAAACTCAATAAAACAAGGTCTCCCCTACAAATCTGTCGAAGTCTTAACAACGAAATCACACCAGTAATAAAAGTAGCTGCGAAATCTTTGGCGAACTATCCATTGATTTCTGATATTGGAACACATTGATGACCTGTAAAATAAGAAATAAGAATACAAGCAAACTAAAAGTTTCATGCTGGAATATTTTGATCAAGAATAACAAAAGATAATTGAATTAATTAAATGACTATCTATTCATTTGCGCCGGTATATGGAGAATTGCTGCTAGCACACGAATTAGATGATATTTATGACCAAAATTCAAATAATTATAAGCAAGACTGCATTAAAATGGTCAACGCCACTCGCAAAAGAACCTTTTTGTGAGTATTTGGTATGCTTCATGTAAAATGTGAGGTTCAGAGAAGTCATTGGCGTTTGTTCTTTATTATATTAGCCTTAGTATTCGAAATTTCTGGCATTTTTACTGCATTTTCGCGTGAGCAAAGGCACGACCTCAGACGGGAATCAAGCCCGTAGTTCATCCAAACCGTGGACGCGTACTACTACCACTACACCACCGAGGCCACATTTGCATCTCCACTCAAACCTGACCAAGAATATTAAAGTTTGGTGGCTGATAGCTAACATAGAGTTATCGAAGAATGATTGGTGTCGCAAATGCGTTTTGGTATTGTAATGGTAGTAGCACGCGTCCCCGGCATGGGTGAAACGCGGGTTCGATTCCCTCCTGAGGCCGTGTTTTTGCTCATCCACTCAATAAGTTTCCTGATGAAATCTAGATTGCAATCGCTATTGGAAAAGACTACAACTTCAGTAAATGGTGTAATATGACAGAGGAGACTTCATGAAGACTGTTTGTGATTGAAATATGCCTTAACACGTAGGAAAGAACGAAAAGCATGTCAAAAATGTATTGCATTTTTCAATGTGACGTGATTTCATCGATAATTTAGAACAAAACTTTATCATCAGTGTACTTTTAAAAGTGGAACTTATATTGAGTTGTAGAAGAGCCTTTATTTTATTGTATCACTCTTTGTATGCCGACTTATATTCGGCTATGAACATTATCAAGGGCTGAAACGAGAAAACAACTCTAACGCTTCCTCTGCAAGCATGTTTTTTAAAGATGAAAGTATGGTGCTTACGAAAAAGTCATATTTCCAGCTGTTATTGAGCAGTTGGCAGCGTATGTGGCTCAGTGGTTAGAGGGTGGCTCTGCATCGCACACAAGGTCAATGATTCGATCACGCGTTCATGGTTCACCTAGCCTTTCATCGGTTCAGCAGGAGGCCATCGCGAGTCATTGCAAAGGCCAGATATGCATTCAATCGCCTCAAACGAAGTTAAAAATTGAAGACCAATGCATGGCGCATCCCTCAGAGATTGATCAACGCCGTGAGCTTTATTCAATAAAGCTAAAAATCTTTATTGAATAGTTAATTTCATTTATTTGCATCTCGTTTATAACTATTAAAGTCATTTACAACTTTATTACTTAGTTGTTCAAAAATGGTACCGCAAAAACCACACTAAAATCACACCTCTCCTATGAAGGTAAGACGAAATTATTTTTTGTAAGTAGAACGTACTACGAGAGTCTCAAACCTCTCCTAAGCCAAAAATAGTGTTGGAATCAACATTTCTAACGCTAACATTTATCCTCATGTACTCTTTCATTAAGTGTTCAATTCTGTCGGTATTATTGGGCCTCCAACTAAATTTACGAACTTGGTTCAAAAAATTTCAAAATTTATTTTTTTATGTAGTTGAAAGTGCCAACTGTTAATCGAAGTATTATACGTCTGCCTGAATGAAATTCTGTCAACGCTCTGGCAACAAATCAATTCCGCGCTCATAAAACTCATTACTCATCGATGCAAACCGACCAGGCAATTCTCGATGCAAATAATTGATGTCTCGAAATTTCTTCTTGTCCATTCAGTGCTTCAGTGATCTGAAGAGATGAAAATCGGACGGAAACACACGCCTGGCGAACACGGCGAATGATAAAAGTGCTCCCGCCCAAACTGGTTAACTACTTCCTTGTTTGCTTGGCAACGTGTGGCTTTGCATAGTCTCGATGTAAAATGTCTTGGCGACGGCGGTGACGTGGAATTGTGTCCAACAGCTGCCAGTATCACTCAGTGTTGCAGGGTCTGATCGGATTGCAACAGGTCCCAATGAATCGGCCCACTTCGGTCTCAGAAAATAATCAACATTGCTTTTGGCGAATATGATTTAGTCTAAGTGTTGGTGTTACTTGCTGACCTGGTGACAACCACTGATCTAGACAACGGTGGCTCTTGAAGAAGATCTACTTCTCATCAATGGTGACAATTCTGTTCGAAAACGAAGAGCGGCAATGACAACGAAGATGAGCTTGCGCAGTTTGCTTTCTGTTGCTCTTTATTGAACCTGTGGGGTGAGATAGTGCATATCCAACTGCCCTTGCGCCATTTCTTGCCTGCGTCTCCAAAATCTTTCAGATGTGCTCGTTTCAGCAGTGGAAATCATCGACCAGATCACCAGTTGACAAGGTCGGGTCTTCTTCAATCGCTTCAGTGAATGTTTCTCGATCAATTTCAAGCGGTCTTCGGTATTCCATCTGATAGGCCAAATCAGCATCTCCATTACCAAACTTTGCAAAACATTCATACGCCGTAGCTCCACACACAAATTGGCGGCCTTTTGCACGATTGATGTTGTTAAATGCATTTGAAAGTTGTGCCCCCAATTGAAACTCATAAAGCAGTAAGTTGCAAATGACTTCCCGTGACGGCTCCATTGTTGGACAAGTATGTGCAAAAATATAAAGAGCGCTTAATTAATTTGTTGCCGAAGAGTTGGCAGAGTTGCATCCAGGCAGGCGGAGAATACATCACTCAATGTTATTTGATACTTTCGATTACCTGGAAAAAAATTTTATGAATTTTTTGGATCAAGTTAAGAAACTTAGTTGGAGACTCAATATATGCAGAGCTTTATATATGCGATCCGTCTCAGTACGTCGATAAACTGGCGAATTTTTGAACAAATTGCTAAGTGTTATTCTAGTTCTTCCAGAATAACAAGTGACCAAGCATGACGGCAAAAATGGGTCAAAGCAGCAACAGCGTAGATCTGATGATTTGCGCCACTAGTAAGTTGGATTTGGTAGTATTTACATTTGCTGAAGATGACATAGCTTTGACAGTGAGGACTAATAAGAGGGTTCGGGTTTCCATGTCTGTCACAAATAACCTCTTATGAACTTGAGGTAATTATGACACAAGGTCACCACAATCAGTATTAGCAGGAATTCAAGCAAATTTTTGTCCTTATAGTAAGAGAGTGATATCATCAATTAAGTTATGCGAAAAACGCAGGGGAACGGTAAAATTTCAAATTTTTCACTTCTTTCGTCGGCGAAGATCACATTTGTCATAATCGATTGTTCTGTCCTTTATGTTTATTTTTGAAACTGAGCTTATGTTTTTGGCTTCGACCGTTAGTACTGAGCGATGTCGCTGTGGTTGTTTGTGCGGCAACGTTGTAGATAGACCACCTTATTTTTACAGTGTTGTAGCTTCGTACTTTTTCAGACTTTTACCATAACTAAAGGAGATGCTTACATGAGCAAAACATGGAATATGAGTGAAAGAACTTCATGCCCATTCATTGCCGAAACAGTGATGAAACGCTAGCAAGACAACAAAATGTTTGCCAAAAATGAACCTACACACTTTATGTAATGTCTGTTGATCAACACTTACTAACAGCTTCTTGATCACTAGTCTTTTTGAGGAGTTATGGCCTCCGTGTAAAAGTAATCCTATGAAATTCAAATTCTTGTCATCACTGAAGGGGGGTTTTGTAATCAGTGAATGATAAAATAGGACGGAGAAACCTCAATAAGGCTATGAGTAGTAAAGACAACATCAACGCATACCAGTATCCCATATTTTGACCAATAAAATCACGTCCTTGCGAAGATGACATATCTCAAAGTGTTATTGAGCATACTCATGCTATCCTATTCATATCTATTCGTATTTTAATCATATCTTAAATCATTTTCACGTCAAGTGTGATTCACTATAATACATTAGAGCAAATGAATAATCATTTATATAATCAACTATATATTCATCTTGCACTTCTCAAATAATATATCACAGCACAAAACTTTCAGTTTCGATATCTTCTCATTACATACGATACTCAAAAGTCTCCATAGCGATTGAGAATTATAAGACAATGAGTAGTTTCTCAAAATTGCATGCAATGGCACTTTTATATCATTTTAAATAAATCCCGAATTACTGATCTATTTTGAGAGCTGACACCTTCATAATTATCAAACAGACTTCATGGTACTGTTCGATTTTCTGAGCCATTCCAATTCCCACCATTCCAAAAATGCTCCAATGTGACCACGAGCAGGTGATTATGGCAGTTACAGTGGCTCAGAGACCTCACGGTTCGCTTAACTGCTTGCGATTCCGATGTGTCTTCCAACACTTGTAGTGAAAAGATTTATGCAAATCTATTTTCGCAGATCGTTGTGAGGCTCACAATCTAGAACTCGTGAGGTGAATTTCTAAACCTGTAATTTGTGTCAAAAGATCTGTGGTGCGTGAAGATCACCTGACAAATTCGTCGCCCGTCACTGCGTTGATCGTCGAGTAAATCAAGCGGGAGCCGCCTACACTTCCATTTCAGCCGATTGCGCTCAAGAGAAGACCAGTGAGTCCTCTCGCTCTAAGAATCATTGGGCATCATATTCTTCCTTCTAGACTTTTTGTGAAGCAATCGCACTATCGGGTCGGTTGTTATCTTGTAAAGAACTTGACTTATCAAGGGATTCAGTCGGAAACGGCTCGTCCATCGGTTATTGTGGAAGTGCATTATACGTCCGGTCCATTTTATTATTAATAACCCAGCGTGTGCAACGAGATGTTCGAGTTCGATCGTTGACGTGTTAAGATTTAGTACTTTTTCACCTCATTTCCAAGAAATGGAATATTCCTAACATTGGCCTTTCGACAGGCTGTTAAATAACGTTAAGTAGTCTATCAAAGTGCTTATGCAGCGACCCGGTCCTGCTGCATACGTTAGGACAGGAATAACCACTGAGAGGAAAAGGCGAGCACGGAGTTGGATGTTCTTCTTCCTCTCCGCAGCTTCCTCGATGCTTCTAAACTCTCCTCAAGTCGCTCTTTTTCTTGTGTAATTCTAAAAGATGTAAATGGAGCATTCGGAGATGCTCGTTTCGTGAAAGCGCGCTAAACATGTGGAATGCGCATTTTGTTATTGAATGTGAAATTTTTGCCCGCTTTGGAAAAAAGTTGAGGTAAAACGTATGTCTCTGATATTCGAGGATCTCCTCTACACACTCATACGTTTTCCGTGCTTTCAGCGAAAGATAAACGTGTTAAATGTGAAAGAGCGCAAAAGGTGTGAAACATGGTTTTATTTCGAATGTCTACAGCCACATAAAAAAGCTTTTTTGAGAAAACTAGTATATTTTTAGATTTGCGATGACTTACGATTGCAAACAATTGCCAAGTGTCCGATGGAAAAGAATAGTCCAGCTAAAGAGATCCCTTCGATGAAGTCTTTCTGATAATGGAATCGTGCCAAATAATTAATTAATTGCAGTGCACCGTAATTAAACAATGGCTACGTCTTAGCGGTATCACTTTTCTCAAAGCTCATGATCCTCTTTCAAAAGTGATGCTCCAAATATTGGT